CCCCCCCATAATTACGATTATGGACGAGCGTCAACCCTGCCTTAAAAAGATTTCATTTAAAACAGTGTGTTGGGCTACGGTCAATGACAGCCTCATAAGATTTTGTGTTTGACAGTTAGTGGGCACGGAAGATATGCTGGAGGGGGTTAAAATGACAAATAGTTCGTTTCAGGCATGAAATACGCAAGGGCTAATCCTGTTTACCAATATCTTTTCGGTAAGCATGTGGCTACAAGTGATTTCACCTAAAAGTCAGAAACCCGAATGTCCCATGTTAGAGTACATTCGGATTTCTGACCATTAGGTGAATTCACGAACGGGTAGCTATCCGTGTCACACGCTGTATGTATGTACATGTACATATTTAATGACACCTTTTAACAGTTTTAAACCTTGAGATCGCACCACCATTTAATAGCCGGCCATTTTGTTGTGTGGTTCGAAAAATGCATTTGAATTTTTATTTCCGCAATATAATTGTTACTATTTCTTTATTACGTTTACCTATCAGGAGAATATTCAGTTAAAAAATAATTTTTCGTCATTTTTTTAAGGTTCAGTTCATGGAGATGCAATTTTGTTCATCAGATTTAGTCTTTATTTCTTTGTAACCTGGCAGATCGAAGAGTATCAGTTCATTCATGGTTCATTACTGGAATAATGTCATATAAATTTACTTGTTTTAGTCAAAGCGGTTAAAATAAAATACATTTAATCTCATTAAAACAATGGACATAATTATCAATTTAAAAGATCAAAACTAATGAATTTTGAAATATGAGGAATACTTTTAACCATCTTCTAAAAATGTTTCAAACGAAGGTTTTTAGGAGAAAGTTCCGAAAACGGCATACCTCCGAAAAGTATGATTTTTTTTGTTTTCCGACGTATGTTGACGTGCTGATGATGAATATAATAGTGCAAATACCCGCAAAATTAATTTAAAAAAAATTGCTATTTTTCAAGAAAAAATACTCTTCATATTTTTCCAATAAATATTGATTTTAGAGAAAGAAGTTTTAGGTAAATTTTATTAAATTTCCTTCAGCTAAATAATCACGTACCTCGGGTTCGTAACCCTCTGATAGCAATTTTTCAAAAATCATACAAAACGAATTCGTTATTTCTTCATATCTGGCACAACCTCATCAAATATGTAAAGATTAAATTTATTACCTAATACTAAGAAAACAAATATATCCATTAGAATCCTCATAGACCAAAAAGAATCCTCCACAGTGCATTGACAAAATCTTTCTATTTTCGAAAATGAACAGTTATCAAAATTTTCTGTAGAATGTATTTTCCTTTAACATTTTCAGCGCAATGGGAATAGCTAGCTGGCATATCAATATCGTCACCACACTCAGGTAAAGTGCTATCGCCATTTGAAAGTCCATGAATCTTTCTCATTATTTCTTCACAAGGCTAAATATTTATTATTGAATTAAGACACTATGTAAAACTTGTATTTGTAATGTTTCCTTTGAAGAAAAAAGCAAAATTTTAAGTAATTACCTTATAAAAAGAAGTAATAAAATCTTGGGGAAACTTTATAGGTACTGTATTCTGATGCAAGTTTGTTATCTTTTGTTCATATGTTTCAAGTATTGACAAATATTGATTGAGTAGTATAATTTCTTTCCACAATTCATTCATTATTCTAACTACAACTATTTCCATGATCTATAACATCATAACACATATCTTTATAAAAAGGAATGCCTGCATATTCGTTGCAGGAACCAAATTCTTTACCAAATTGCATGATGATATTCTTGAAGAAGCGTAAAATAATAAATTTGTTGATCTTGCTTCTAGATACAAGCATCCTGCAAAACTACTTTTAGGAAATTCAATCCAATCCATAGTTTCTGCTATTGATCTAAATAATTCAAAAACACTGAGAACAGATACGTTTATCTTAAATAATAAAGAATAATGTCAAGATGAAACACTTTTCCAAATGTCCATACCTATATTCTAGATAATGTTTGAAAATAAAGAAAATTTATGAATAATTATCTTATACAACATACTTGATGTTCATGTACACCTGATAATTTAACATGTTCCTGCATTAGTATAGGTATCCCATTAATTACTTTTTTAAGCCCTTGCAGTTCATGCTAGAATAGTAACGAACTATTTCGATTGATTGTACATTCCTAATAATACTGTTTTCTCATTATCTTGTCCATCACATATGGAAAGAATTGGAATTGCCCAACATTTATCCAAATTTTCAATGCATTCATTTACTGACATACTAGAAATTAAAAAGGAATACTTTTTGATTATACAGGACATAGTTCAAAATAAAATATACTAAATTTTATGAATGAATTACTTTATAAAATTACACTTATTACTTGAAAAGATATTTATTTTATACACTGACCATGCCTGCATCCTAGATATAGGTAAAATATCTTCTTTTCTCCATTGGCGTTTTGGAATTATTACAGAGGAATTTAATTGGCACTCATCGCTAAATGAGCGTTGCAATGGAAAGCCAATTAGATCCAGTTCTGTAAGATATATTACAATAGCACATCATCCTAAGCTTACCACATGCAGTTAGATACAAAAATATTACTTTCGTAAACAAAGCTGTTGTTATATCCCTCCGAATCATTTTGTAAAACTAAATTTTCTGGAGCAGCCTGCAAGAGAGTTTACTTATATACAATTTCATACTACATTGACAAACTAAACATATAAGGCTATACATCGCTATCTATAAAAACAAATATAATCATACGTCTTGAAAATCTGATACAACATATGAATATGAATTTAATAGAAAATGTAACATATGGCACTATCCTCGATCTACCTTAAAAAGTACAGAATGGGTTTTATATTCTCTGGAAAGTAGGTGATAAGTGGTTATAACCATATCATTTTGTGCTAGTCGTTTTGGAACAGTTTCTCGATCATTTCCATGGTAAATCTTTAGTGATAGGATTCAACGCTTGCAACGATTATTCACCTCTCCCTCCCATTGCGACAACAAAGAAGCTGGACAAACAACAAGCGTTCCTCCTCTATGCACTACACAGATAAAATTATAATTTATGAATAATATTATTCCTTGGTATATATTTATCAGCAGGAATATTTTATCGTTTTAGGTACATATCGATTTATAATCGTCATCATCATCATCATCAGGTTTATCTTGTGCCAGTGATGCTATCACTAATGCAATCATTGTTCATTATTGTTCGTAACGTTGACGTATCATGGTACCTCGAAATATTTCGTGGCGTAGTGTGGCAGTTTAATATATCGATGTATGACGACGTTATACCCTCTTGTCGGTCGAGTTAACCAATAGTGTGTAATTGACGAAATTTATTGTGCCGGGGCTGAAATACGTTACTTATAACGTAGTTTCTATGCAATTTCTCGAATCTTCTCTTACAAATATTTACCGATTGTTTAGAGTTTAGAACGGATTTTACAAATGGCGAAAACAGCTATGACGATATCACTTCTCTGTACTTTTTTGATCGTGCACAGTGCCACAGCCTTTTATTTACCGGGCTTGGCTCCTGTTAATTACTGCAAGGCTGGAGAAACATCGGATACGTGCAAGGTATACGCTGATGATTTATATTTCAATTATTTCGTCGCCAAATCCCGCTGATAGAATAGATATCTATTTCTGGATAAAGTGAATTTCTTACGTGTCACTCGGCTTATCATGAAACGTAGAATAATTTTTACTAAAAGTATAATCGATTTTAATAGTAAAATATAATCGTTATTTTGGTCTATTTTTGTATAACTTTTATAGTGTTTCAACATATATAAATAGCGTACAATGGAATTACTTCTACACAGTGTAATTCCAGTACTGTAATAATAACGTTGAACTGACACTTCATATCTCTGTTAATAAATTACTATGGTACAGAATGGTACTACATATGTTTTAAGCTTTAATGAAATATTTCTTTTGTTATGTATGTATTAAAATGTCTTCTCTTATCTAGTAATTAAGTCTTCTTTGCAATAAAGTATCTAATTGGACATAGTTTGTGTATTTTGGATATATTGTAAGTTATAAAGGATAAATATAACTTACAGTATTTATATTGTATACAATATAATATTTCTAATAGTTACTAATTTCAATAAACTAAGTTGGATATTTCATGGTTACAGAACTTCGATATTTAATCGTTCACCAATTGGTAATAACTGTATGATGAATAATTTTTCTAATTAAACTATACAAGGATAATAATGTGCAACAAACTTTTTTACAGTCAGAAATCAAACTCTTTGTAAATCGGTTGAACTCGGAAGCATCAGTGATACCATATGAATATGATCAGTAAGTATTCATATTGCATGTGCACTTAATGACTGTTCCTTTGATCACATGATATACCCTGTCATATGCATGGTTTTATATACATCGACAGTGGAATCAGTATATTTTGACATGAGTTTGGTTGTTATTAGATAATGTTAGAATGTGTGATAACAAACTTCCTGGAAGTATAAATAGCATTATACATTCTTAGCTGATAGAACATAGTGAAGATATCACAACTATTCATGTTGCAGTTTTGACTTCTGTGCCTCAGATGACACCCAATCACCAGTTGAGAATTTGGGTCAAGTTGTATTTGGAGAACGTATAAGACCCTCTCCATATAAACTTGAGTTTCTCAAAAACAAGACTTGTGAAGTAACATGTACAAGAAAGTATTCTGGCAAAGATGAGACCTCCGAAAGGAAGCTATGGTTTCTTAAGAAGGGAATAGACCTCAATTATCAGAATCATTGGATAGTTGGTGAGCATTCAACTCTGTGAAGAAAATAAGTATTTCAGTTTAATAATGTAGTATTATCGTTTAACAGATAATATGCCAGTCACTTGGTGCTATCCTCTGGAAGATGGGCGTCAGTACTGTAGTACTGGCTTTCCCATAGGTTGCTTCAAAGGAGAAGCTGCTTATCAAGAAAATACTTGCAGTATTAACGTATGATCTTAATGAAAAGTTAGATACTTCATAAAACATTGTGAAAAATCATTGAAAAAATAACATTATTTTATTTTAGGAACCTTCTATGAAACCACAAACTTATTATGTATTCAATCATGTGGATTTGACAATAACATATCACAGTGGTGCTAAGGAAGATTGGGGTGCAGGTTTCAAAGATAATGGTGGTCGAATAATATGTGAGTATGAAAATCAAATCTTGCGCAACTATAATCAAGTAACGTAATTATCTTCGTTAAGAAAATATTTTTATATATAGCTGTCAAAGTTAAGCCACGAAGTATCAAACATAATCCCCAAGCAATATCTCCAAACTGTAATGGAGCAGAACCATTAGACCTACCTTCTGGAACGTCGTTCAGTAATACAATATCCATAACTTACACGTATTCCGTTACCTATGTGGTAAGTTGTAGTCTGCAATTTTAAGAAAAAGTATGCAATGCGTTTGATGGCGATTGGCTATTTTCATATTATATTATTATGATTCTAGATGAATAATACCATTAAATGGTCATCAAGGTGGGATTACATTCTCGAATCTATGCCGCACACGAATATTCAATGGTTTAGTATTCTAAACTCTTTAGTGATCGTCCTATTCCTCTCTGGAATGGTAGCAATGATCATGCTACGGGCATTGCATAAAGATATAGCACGATACAACCAGGTACATTACTTTACTCTGTGGGGTGTAAATCGGCAATTGCTGAATATTCTTCTTACCTTATATTCTTTTTGAACAACTGTAAAAAAAACTACAGATCGAAAGATACGGAGGATCTAAGGATTTTGCTGATATAGATACAGAGTATAACAGTTTAGAAAGTTTAAAGTTTTTTAAATCAATAACTCACAAAATATTGTCAATTTGCTGCAAACGGATATACAGACAATCTGATACATTTCGCATCGTAATATTAGTAATAATTGTCTTATTTATTTAACCGTTGAGTGCTAGGCGTCATTATAAAAATTTCACCAAATAATGCCATGCGACGTGATAACGCTTGTTTAATATGATCTCAAAGAATATAGTGGCACTTTTCGGTATAAAATGTGAACAGCGCGATTACAATGCGTGGCACTCAAATGGTCAATAATTGTTTTTATAAGTGGATATAGATAGAGCTTGAAACAAGTCTAATAATAATACATTATTTATGAATTATGTATTTTTACTTATTTTTTGCAATAATTGAACAACAGAGACAATAATTTGCATGAAAAATGAATGAGTTCATACTATATTTAATGCAGTAGTGGAAGCTCGCATTTTTTCTAGGTATAAGGTAACAACATAAAGTTGTACGAACTTCGAGAGCGTCCTATTAAAAAATATTCACGGTAACATTCTCAGGTTGGGTTAATTAGTGGATTTATTAACGTTGGTAATGGCGATTGTCCTTAATTCGTACAAGAGTTAATATATATATATATATCGTGTAAATAGTGATTTCCCAATCTGTCTGTGTTGGTATAACGCAGGCCTACTTCCAGATAGAATCCGGTGAGGATGCCCAGGAAGAATTTGGATGGAAATTGGTGCATGGCGATATTTTTCGACCACCGAGAAAAGGAATGTTACTCTCTGTTCTTCTGGGTTCAGGAGTTCAAGTATTTTTCATGACCCTTGTTACTCTAGGTAAATTAGTCTATTTAAACCATGAACTTTGTCCCAGGAATAACTATAAATGATTTGTTCATTGACTTTGACTTTTGTAGCTTTTGCGTGTCTTGGATTTCTGTCACCTGCCAATAGAGGAGCTTTAATGACATGTGCAATGGTTCTGTACGTGTGTCTTGGTATTGCAGCCGGTTATGTATCTGCACGCATCTACAAGAGTTTTGGTGGTGAAAAATGGAAATTCAACGTACTGCTTACGTCTATGTTGAGTCCAGGGTACCGTTTTGACAGTTCTTCACAGAAAAAGGAAATCTTGAAAGTTGTGCTACATGTCTCTTTTTTATGATCTAGAATCGTCTTCAGTCTTTTCTTCATAATGAATCTGATCTTCTGGGCTAAGGGTAGTTCAGCAGCTGTACCATTTAGCACCCTGATTGCATTATTGGCATTGTGGTTCTGCGTGTCTGTTCCATTGACATTTATTGGCGCATATTTTGGATTCAGGAAAAGGGTAAAGTTTATTACGTTTTATAATAATATTTATGGCCATCGCAATGAAATTAGCGACTATTAGGTAATAACGCTCACACGACAATATTAAATGATTGTTGAAAGTCCTGATAAGATTTAAACGTCGCATAGTGAAATCCAGTTATTACAACTCCGCTTATAACAATCGATCGCATATTGCATCCTACTTGCACCCTTAAGTTTGGTTTTTAGAAATAAATCGTATAAATGTAACGCTTAGGTAAACACTTTTGTCTCAAGGAATCTTTTCTATCTTGGCTTCCGTGCATCTAGATCTGTTTCGTTTCATTCCTCCCGGTTTCAGCCTAAGAAATGTTCGCGTTACGCCAGCCAGGGAAAGATTCCGTGCCTTCCGTTATTACTTTCTGTATTTTCGAAATGTTTTATGGACTTTAGACTAATGTCTCAGTGACCCTGGAGAACTGGTTAACGAATCCGTGTTCCACGCGTCTCGTGAGTTTACGTATTGCCTTTTCGTTAATCTAAGGGTATATTCCGTAATTGAACCACAGTTATTAAATTTCAGCCAATGACATCGATTTATTTTTGCCAGCAGTCGAAATCAATCGATGCAATTGACTGCAATTTAATTACCGCAACTGTGGTTCAGTTATGGAATATGTCCTTAAGTTATATGTTTTCTGTTACTGAATTTCTTCTCACTATGCTTTCCTCTATCTCGACCCAGCTCTTCTACCATACCTTTCTGTGCTGTTCCTGCTAGTCGGACCTCTTTTCATATTTTCCGGGGAGTTCCTTTATGTATCACGACGCAACGATGCGTCTAGCGCCCATCCGGTGTTTGGCTAATTTGAGTTCATTTCGTATTGCATAGTCCCGGGAAATTCGGAAAGGGTATCGAGACAATTGTAAGCGAAAGATCGTGTTGTACCTTACAGTTAGAGCATCTTTCTATCTTTATCATTGAGAGAATCTTTTTTTGTTACAATATATATCAATGCGAGCTATAGTGTTCGATTATTGATTTTATTACATGCTCGTTATAATTTTTTTTAGCCTTTGGAACATCCTGTAAGAACTAATCAGATACCGCGACAGATACCAGAACAGAGTTTTTATACACAGGCCATACCTGGTGTAGTACTAGGTGGTGTACTTCCCTTTGGTTGTATATTCATACAACTCTTCTTCATACTCAATTCTCTTTGGTAAGTGTTAGAAAGGATAATAAGTTTCAGAAATAATGATAATTATAATAATCATTTGCATTTCATTGGTTTCAATAAACTTTTCACTATCTATTTTATCACTTAGGTCCAGTCAGATGTATTACATGTTCGGATTCTTATTCCTGGTGTTCCTTATACTTGTCATTACTTGCTCTGAAACAACAATTTTGTTGTGTTACTTCCATCTGTGTGCAGAGGTGAGAAATATCAAGTATCACTTTGATTTCGTAATATCTTTTATATTAAATCAAATCTCTTATGAATCTTTTGTTTCCGTCGTCTAGGATTATCATTGGTGGTGGCGAAGTTTCCTAACACCTGGTTTTGCAGCCTTCTATCTTCTAATATATTGTATACACTATTTCATTACAAAACTCAACATAGAAGATGGAGTTTCGACTTTTCTCTATTTCGGTTACACGCTCATCATGGTATTCCTGTTTTTCTTGTTAACAGGTAAGGATTACACAATGTTTTACGTTATGCTTAATAGAAATGAAGACATATTTTGATATATTTTAAATAACATATACCTTTGATTTCAGGAACCATCGGTTTCTTTGCTTGTTTCTGGTTTGTACGAAAAATTTACAGTGAAGTTAAAGTCGATTAAAGTGTAAGGTGGATCTATTTTATCGACTTTTCGGAAAATTGTTTCAATTTTTATAGTCAGCAAAATTATTTAAATGACATTCAAACAAAAAATATGGGGGGTAGAAGACATCCGACAAAAACTAAACTAATATGTGGTATGGTTAAGGTAAAGTGGCATAAAAAGTAATCTACTGCAACGGCTCAGCATAGAACATGTGAACTGCAAGTTATTAATATTTCGTATTGAAACTCCGTAATTGATTAAACACGCGTAGACAATTATATCGATACAGTGTATTGGTGAAAAAAATTGTCACTGACCGGGCTAGAATAAGCTCATCATTTTCAAGAAAAATGTAAAGAAGAAGCATGAATGATGCGTTTGTATAAATAACTATTTAAAGAAATGAGAAATTCGCATGGATTCAGTTTTTACCATCATAAAATTTGAAATATTGCGAATGCAACATGCTCATGATTTGAGATTGTTGGTGACACGAATTATAGTTGGGCTGTGAAAGCAGTGATTTTTGTTTATCATCTTTCTACGGGTTCAAATATGAGTCCCCTGAATGTATCGTTCATATTGCAGCCTACCTGTATATACACTGGACGTTTGAAACAACTATTCGTTAATTTTATTACTAATTTTTTCTGATTCCATGTTATACTGTTTTTTGTTTTTTTAGTCAAGTCCCAAGAAGATGCAAAATAAAAACTTGTGTAAAGTCGACTTGGCACTTTTTAAAAGTATTATTTTCAAAAATTTTGCTGACTTGTACTGTCAAATGATAGAATGGAGAGACAGGAAGGGCGAAAGAATGTTTGTACAAATTGGCTATTAATAATTATAACCGAATGATACTATTAATTAATAGCTCCTAATCTATCTTGTTAAACCCTTAACTTTAATAATTGCAAAGGTACTTTATTATAAGAGCTAAAACGAATACGCACTTATCGATTTTTAAAGTAAAAATTGGATACAGCAGAGTAAATACAAAGGAATAGCACAGAAATAAAAAAAAAACAGTATTTCAATGTGGTTTAAGCTTTGTCATATTTTACTTATTATTAAGTCATGATTAATTTTTGAATAAAATAAATTATGTATTTCCATAGGAAAAGATAAATTGATGACAAAAAAAGGAATGAAATTATAATCGCAGATACATTACTCGAGCTTTTGTATGATTTATTGATCATTTTACACATCACATCTGTATTTTTTATTGTTCGTGGAATACCGAATAGTAGCTCTTTTTATATATACAAAGGGATGGTTTCGTGCAGTAGACATGGACATGTTAATTAATATGCCTTTTCTAAGAGAATCACATTCTAATTGAGCCACCCAATTATTTTGGTAGGCATTCGTGAAATCAATACGTGAATATACAATTTAATTTTCTTTGTTCTTGGATTATATTATTGTTATCGATAATAGTGGTATAACGTCTACTCATCGCAAGATATCATTTGCAGTGCGATGTCTATGCGTGGATTATAACTCAAATAATTGTAGCGTTGCTTCGATCGATCGTCTCACGTAAATGAAAATACGAAAAGTCGTTCAAAATTTCGTGTCACCATTGTTCCTTGACATTTTGTCATCAAGGGAAACAATCAAGTACAGAATACATATACTTTTTTTTTTTTAAAAGAAAAGGTTGAACAACGTGAAACATTACTAACCACGGCAATTTCTCAGTACAAATTTTTTACCGGTTATTGTTGAACAGGATTCTCAATTCTCTTTCAGTTTTGTTTCCTTTTAACGCTGTTTTTATTTTTAATCAAAATGTCCTACAGTACGTTGAATTTAATCAGAAGACACTCGCGTTGAGCTGCGCGCACACAGCGTTTTTCATGTTTCATCTTTCACTCGCAGATTGTTCTTGCTATTTCTCTACTTATTTGAACTTTCAAAAGAAATCATCCTTTGCCTTTTTCCCCCTGTAATTTTTCATCCTTGTAGTATCTCGTAGAGGAAATTTTCAAGGCGAAATAAAAATGCGTAAGCACATAACGCATTATCATCGAAGTTCACCGCATACGTAGTCCACGATAAGACAGTCTCGCGTGAGATCTAGTATTTCACTTAGTTCCAACCCACCAAATGGCAAAAATTGTTGACCTGGAAGAAATACTTTAATCCTGAAAAAAAAAACGAGGATGGGATGTGTTTGATGTACAGGATAGGGAATTCACGAGAATATTGTTCGCACTGTCAAAATAGCATGTCGATGATACAGAACAAAAATGATTTAAAACGAATTAAAAAACGACTTAGTTTTTCTATTATAGAATGAGGAAATTGATCCTCGTTAAACATAAAATAGGAGCATTGTATTTCGTTTAAATTTAAAACGATTTGACAATTAATATGAAAAGAACACAAAACAAGAAAAGTGGAAAGAATTAGTTTTTTGCCAAGTACTTGATTAAATAACTTTTTAAATTTTTTGAACAATCAGTAACACGTTTGTCATCGTCACTCTTTTGTCCAATGCGTCATTGTCCGTTTTGTGTCGTCAATCTTCCCGAGACAGTCTGCACATTCGTTTCGCAATTGGTGTCAGGGTCTTTCAGACGTCTTTTCTGAAATACGTTTCCTCGTGACGGTGGATATTATATTCTGTAATGATAGAGGGATATTTTGCATGTGTGTGTGAGTGTTCTGTCTTGTTTCTTTCCATTTATTTTCGAGGGCTACGACGACGACGACCACCATCCCTATTTCTCTCAACGCGCCTCATCTCCTCAAGTCTGCGAGCGTGTTCAGCCATGTGTTGCCTTCTCATTTCTTCTTTGACGACGATCTATTGAAATTCAGAGAGTTAAACTCTAAGCACCATTAGTTGTAAATCAATAAAATTCGTAGCTTATACATACCTGCTCGTTGGTCAGAGGCAACCAGTATATGCACGGAGTAGCCTTAGTTTTCCTAAAGAGATCATCTAGAAGCTTCGCCGGAGGAGGATCATCCTCTTTCTTCTTAAATTTACGTGCAGGTGCTGGGAGATGAGCCTCCAGCGTGGGGCTTCGACTTCTCTGTCTTCTCTTCTTTTCGGCTTCCTTCTTTTCACGTTCCTTCTCTTTGAGATGCTGCTGACCGTCTTCTTTCCCTAAATCCCATTCACGTACAACCATCACCTGCAAAATGGATGCATGATATTATTTATGTATCGTACATATGACTACAACAGCCAGGTCGCACTTAGTATGACTGCTAAGGAGTAGTTTTATTATACCTTAGTATTGGCATTTGTCTTTTCATCACGATTCCAATCCTGCTGCCAAGTATCTGCTGATTGTAATGGCTCAGTTTTGCGAGATAGTGGCTGATCTTTGGACGATTCGCGCGCCGCTTCCATGTCCTCCTTGTTTGCATATTCGACGTGTAGTCTCTTAGGATTGGAAACTGGCCAGGATATACCGTGAAGAGCTTGCCTGGTTTCGAAGGCCTGATCCTCATTAGCATACTATACACAACATATCAAAAATATAATTAGATACAAGAATTTAGAAATATAATACAATCATTTCGAATATCCGCACTTACCTCTACAAAACACTTGGATTTAATTCTGTCCATCCAGAAACCATTCTCGATGATTGTTCCAGTACGTGAAAGAAGTTCCTTGATCTGATTTAAGGTGAATGGTCGTACGAGGTTCTTTATCAGGAGTATACTAGTTGGTATACATGCTGGAGGACTCGGCGACTTTGTTAGTGGTGCATCTTTTACGATAGATATTTTTCGTCTGGCTGCTTTATTAATAGAAAATTCAAAGATTAAATTAATTGATTCTTCCTCGCAGAGTAATCATTACTCAATGCATATATAAATACCTATATGATTTTCCATCTTCGAATCACTCTTCTTCGTGGCTTCACTCTTCTGCTGAGTGCCATCTTCACGAATTTTATAGTCGCCAACGCTGTCTACAGACATATGACGTTTGTCACGATCCTTGCGACGTTCTCTGTCTTCATTGTCATCCTTAGACAAACGTACCTCGTTTATAGGTAGTGGTTTCGCACCTGGTACTAGTGCCTGTAAACAGGAAACAGTATTTAATAGATTTCTGTATAATTAAAACAATATAAAAATGTACGAACGACGGGGTTGTTGTTACCTTCAAGGATTCTGTGGAAACTGAAAATGCTGGAGCCACATCAGTAGAAATTGACGTACCCCAACGACGCTTACGAGGAATACACTTTCCATCGGATTGATCACTTACAGCATTGTTCTCCTGAAAGTTATAAATAACTTGTAGACATTACACAATTATACATTCTAAGGGATTTATAGCTAAAAAAATCAGACTATTTCATAGATGTACTAAAAAAAGCAGTTTCTTGAATTTAACAGTTTGAATAACAAAGATATGTAGCATCCAAGAAGGTGCTTCACAAGCTTCACCAAGTACTGCGAACATCGTTGTGTCTCTTTTATCTTTAATGTATCTGAGAACGATAGAATATTGTTCACAGTACTTGCAGTGAGGTATGAAACACACCCCGAGTAGTTGTTTATCACTATCGCGAACCAATGTTCAATGTATTATTTTATCCTAGGTACTCTTAGGCGGTCAAGAAAAGTATGTAAACAAAATTTATGAAATTCCCAGTTAGCAATCTACTCTTTGCAAAATAGTAACATGAAAACTATTAAATCAATTCACTAAAAAACATTGATGTCTAAATTCTTTAGGTAATCAAAAACTCATTATCAAATAAATTGTAGTTCATTGTATATAAAGTACAATACATATTCACGCGAAAAATATCAATATTTAATTTGATTTGACTCAATTTAAACCGCTGGATATTATTACAATTTGATTTGGCATATTCTTGCGAGTGACTTAATCTGTACCATATGCGTATAACACATGACGCTACTCATATAAAAAACGAATCATCACTATATTTAAGCCAGTCACGGAACAGACAGGGAGAAATTTATTTCCTAAAGATGAGAACAGTAGCGAGATAATTTGTTTAACGCACCGCGTACATTTACTATATCTGACACCTTCAATCTCATATCTGTAGATATCGATTTTACATAATTTTGTATTTATTCGTTCCCCCATGTATCGATAAGCCTTATATTTTTTGAATCAATTAAACTCTTAGAAACTTCTGAATGTAAAAAACTCTTTTTCACAGGGATCTCTAATAATAGACATGAATATTATTGAAAATAAATAATGAACATCTAGGTCTCGTGTAAGGCATGGTATTTAATAATGTTTAGAATGCAAAGTTCTTTTTTAAATACTCGATAATACTCCCTAATATTTTACAGTTTTGAAATTAAGAACTTGAAAAAGAATATATGCTAACATTTCGAAATTCATTTCAAAGTTAAAGTAACGAACTCCTTAAGAATAAAAGATGTCAATATTACAAAAATACCTTGTTTTGAGTTGCTGAATCATTGTCGACGTTACTATCGTTGTCTTCCTTCTTTAATTCAGCATCCACTGATATTCTTGCAGAACTAGGAGAAGAAAGATAGTAAAGGTAATACTGACTTATTGCTTGATGATAATACTGCATAAATGTTATAATAAAAATTAATTCTATACTCACAATGATCTCTTCAAGTTGACTTTTACAGGCTTTAGCGGCGCCTGGATTTCTGGACGAACCATGTCCTCTTGTTTATCAACTTGCATGTCTGACTTCTCTTTATTATTATCAAATGGTTCTGTTTCCATGTCGGCATTGTTATTAGTAATGGATGCATCGAGTCTGTGTTCAGGCGATGAAGAAGTTCTGTCCTTATATGTATCCTCAACATCCTGTTTATCCTCGCGAGTCTCAGACTCTTTTCGTTTCCGCTCACTTGAGGTCTCATCTTCTGAGTCCGGTGTGTCGGAATTAGAGGAGTCGTGATACTTATTGCGATGCTTTCTACGACCAGCGCGCGAGGGTGTTCTTGGAGATGATCTCGCTGTAGTCGTTTTGCTTTCTGATTCTGCGCCGGAATTCGGCGACGAATCAGCGCGATTTTCCTCGACCTTCTCATCGTCACTACTTGACTGTTTGCGCAAATTGTCCTCTTGTTCTGTCTTGCTCTGATTCTCTTCAACTATGCTGGGTTCCACATCTGATGTTTTCTCCACTTGTGGCATCGGCTCCTTAGGAGTACCTCCAATCGAATTTGGGTCTATGGTCTCGTTGTTCGCATTTGGCGACTGTTCGCGATCAATGCTTAGCTCGGCGGTACCTGCCTCATTCGTATCGCCTTGCCGATCTATGTTTGGTTTAGCATCAGACAAGTTGGCTGAAGTGGTCTCGGACAGGATCTCCTTCCTAGCACTTACCTCTTCGTTGGAATCCTGACCTGGGTGTGAAGAGGAGGGCTCCTCGACCTTTCTATTGCCACTGGATGACCTCTCACGAGGACCCGGTCGCTCATTGGAAGAGTCAACCTCCTCCTCCTCACCTACACCACTTTCTTGCCACTTGTTCGATCTTTTCCTGGTTACAGAGTTCTCTGATGTCTCCGATGTATTGCGCTGTCTACATAGCTTAAGCTTCTGTATCTCCCCTGGCGAGGCATCCGCTCTAGCCACTTTCCAGACTGATTTGCCATCTTCTTCCTCTGGGGTTTTCTCAGCAGCTGCAGATGACTCTCCGGTACTTGCAATCTTTGTCTCATCCATTGTATTATCTCCTATTTCTTTTGACTGTAATCGAGTCTGTATTGTAGATTCCTTTTCATTAGCCTTCTCTTTGGTGCAAGGACTGTTCAATGGTTTATCCTCAACTGTGTCTCGTTCTGGTGATGATGAGGGTGATCTTTTGGCTCGTCTTCTAGCAGACTTACGTGTCGGTTTCTCTGCTTTCTTCTCTGGTGAAGATTTTCCCTTGTTTCTCTCACTTTTACGCCTCATGCCTAGGAAATTCTATTTATTACAAACAAATCGCATATGCAATACATAATTAGAACAAAAATTAATTTATTTCCATACAAGGTACAACTTAATAAATTTTGTTGCAAGCACTTATGTTCCTCCATGTTACTATACAAATTCGTAGCGTAACCCAAGCCAATATCGCGTTTCATGTGAAATTTAATAAATATACCAAACATGTACACACAGTTTCACTGTCAATATCAAATCATGGAAAATGATAGGTTAATGCGAATAATGTTGATACATCAACTTTAATTTTTGTTTGAATCGTTGTAAAGGTAAAAACTGTGGGTTTGTGGTTACGCGACCACCAATTAATTATCACTAGAAATGGTAATCCACGTGACTACTCACTCATAAATATGTCCTGGCTTTAAATTAGGAATCCGTTGAGACGTCCGCGAATGCACGAGCCTTCGAAAGTTTTATAAATACGATGTATAATAGAAAAGAGCGACTCCAATGACGCCCGTGGTACGTGTAATTTTCCCCTATATCGGAAATTCTACTAGAAGCGCATCTAGCGACCCCTGGGGTCCCTAAAATAATCAAATAATCCCTATGTAACGACTCTTTTCATTGGTGCGACCATTTTGCGTTACCAAACAATCTAATGCGCAAGCACATGGTTATACAGAAGGGAAATATATATATGCAAACTTTAATATCCTGCAGTGACCGGTTGCCGGTTTTGCATTCTATCAAATTTAACTATATTCTCATAAAACCATAAAACGAATTTGTCTTTATGTATATAACGATTTTTATCAATATCGTTGTTCAATATATTTAATTATAACTTGTAATTTTTTGAGAGATGCAAGCTGTATTTATTGAGATATATCCCCCACAAATGGAACTAAACTACAATGGCCGACACCCCGCTATTCAAAGAGATGCTTTTGTTTTATCTACTTTTCACTTCATAGTAAAAATACAACTAGAATTGGTTTATTCTGTTAAAATCTAACGAATACGCTACTTTGTTTCGGATTGATTGTATTTCAAAATACACTGACTTACATCATCTATCTCAAGTTATTATACCATAACAGGATTAAAAAACATTCATTTAAGAAACCAATGAATTTTACCAGAAAAAAAAAAGAAGAAAGACAGTCGATGTTTCCAGTACTATAATTTATTCGTGATTCAATAATAATTAATTCATTAAAATAATACAATAATTATTAATATCAATAGCAGTCTACGAATTTGCTAATAAAGCAACGGCATACACGTTATATCATTTCATATAAATTAAAGTTAATCGACTTGCGTAATCTCTTTTTTGCTCCGATACACTCGCTACACATAGGATATACTGGTAAAGAGGACTATTTCTTGCACACGTGCATTTATGCGTCTGAGACGAAGTATTATATGTATATGGCATAAAAAGCCCCTCCAGAACTTTTGTCCTGCTTACAGCATCTTTCCTGTGTCTACAGTGCCCAGTATCTGTCAGTTATAAAGTCCCATAAAATTCCTCTTTACTAGCATCTTCTCAGTTGCTTATTCTAATGTTTAGCATTGCAAAGTCACGCAGAAGTTCACAGAATTTTTAATTTCTCATGTATATACATATATACCTTTTAGTATATATATGTACATAGTTTCCTCTGATTTGGCAATATATATACCATGAACGGATAGTCCGATTATATTGGGTCGTCAAGGATAAAATTTGTAGAAAAATAGGCAAAGTTGGTTGATAACTACAAATTTCATCTTTGACGACCCAATAATAAAAAATCTTTCCTTGAATCGAATATTTTGAAAATTCGTGCGAGTATTTGTTAGCTTCGGTGTTTAGTATCAGGATGTATGTACATGCGTCCATGTATGTATGTATGTATATGTATATGATATTCAAGAGATCGCTCGATGGCTGTTTGGCCACAGGAACATAAAGAATTAACAATTACGAATGTCCAAGGGGAAAAAAGGGCTTTAGCTATCTATTTATACAGTTTTTAAAGACGTCGTGACACTATTTCATTATTTTTTTCATTTTCTCCATTGGGCACCTCAAAAATAATACGCGCCAGTGCAATTTATATATATTATATTATATATATTTACAAAAAATAAGAGGAGAATTAGGATCGACATACCCATCCCTCTGGCATTCCTACTGTATCGCATTTCATAATTGAAAAATACGGATTGTCACTTGCTCTCACCCGCTGATTCATTAATATTCCGTCGCCAGGAGTGTGTTAGAAGAGAAAAAAAAAGAAAGCATATATGTCACCTTTCATCAAGATCAAATACTCCGCAAAATTATTTGGTACCAAGGACCGTTAGACAATATACTATGCGAGTGGGTTTTTATAGAATGGCAATCATTGCGGAGTGAGAAATGCAAAACATCACATATAGTTTTAAATATATTTACGTATCAGTGTATAATTATATATACGTATTCGAATTTAGGTACACATGAGCATTATACCCCTTTATTCTTCCCCTCAATTCATCAACGAGAGATAATTCGAAATAGAGGAAATGAATATTGGATGAGAAAATTATGCCTTTACGCGAACAATGAAGTTGCTATTCAAACTGGGGCCTGGCGCCGCTTTGAAATACTTCGTTTACATTTTCCTTAATATTTAATAGTCAATTTCGAAAAAAGATACAAAAAGCCGAGTCGAGAATCGTTACAGCATGATTATTCTTTCGAAATAAATTGAGCTTAGCTCCTTCTCTTTGATCTATTTCTTCAGAATTTTATTGACACATTTAAGTAATTATTCTGCAATAACTGTAATTGACCAAAGGGATTTTTGACTTAATGATAAGCGCCACTTTTTCGATGCCACGATTTACGCGTAATCATCAGGCCGTCATTTAGTCTCGTAAAGAATTAAATGTAAGAAAGATCAAAATAGTATATTGATAGTAGACAAACATCAGGAATAAAAAATATCTTGCTATCGAATTTTAAATAATAATAACGATAAACAGACTAAGAAATATTCGAAACGCCCAAAAGTGGCAGTGCTAACGTTTTTCTTTTATTTCCTGCTATTTTCTTTTGCCTTTTGCGCTTCACAATTTAAATTCTTTTTTTCACAATATGAACGATAGACAAAGATTACAAAATTACGAGATCCCGATTACCATCTCGTGTATCTTCGGCTCTCTTCGCGTCCTATTGTGAATTACAGATTGTAAAGTATAAATACGATAGACCATTATAAACACTAAATAACCGCTGCACAGGTAAAGAAAAGAAATTATATCACATATCTTTTCGATCTTCCATATATCTAACCGATTGTTATTTTCTTATTATCGATTGACAATCGATATCCTTTATCCTCTCCGTTATCTAGGCGCGATTAGTCGGAAAACTACAGTAAATATCACATGGAGCAATGAAAAATTTCAATGAAACCATTCTCTATTAGCGTCGCACATCAAGTTTTTGTAACGACGTGTCTTACAGTCAAAAAGAAAAGAAAAGAAACAACAACGAGCAAGTCGATAACGTGATTGACACCAATCGACTTTATTGAACTAGATAAATAAGTTCTGGCAATTGTCATCGCTCTTTTATTTTCGCACGTTTATAATGTGCTTAGTGAGGAAAATAATTTAGCAATAATAGGTATATATATTTTCGCGATTTTTCAGGCATACGACTGATCGAGAGATATAGCTATTTTATTTCCCTTTTCTACCCAATTTCTCAATCTCCCGCGAAGCTCCTCGAGGCTCTTGGATTTAGCCTTATTTATCCTCTTGTACTTCACGTCTTTTGGTTTTGTCACTGAACGATGATTACTCATTACCCTATTATACGTAACCTGCAAGCAAAACGATTACAATAATTAAACAAAAATTTTAAATAGCTTCATCGACACTTCTCATAGTATTAACCATATTACACATATAAGAAATATGTTTTCGTACCTGAGCCTGCTGACTCTCATCTCTGGGCCTTTCACTAGGCGGAGAATCGGCTTCCTGAGCGAGTCTCTCGAAACTTCCATACAAATCCTGAAGCTTCCCCTTGCCACTACCTAAGCTTTTGCCTCTTCGAACCTCGTACTCGGAATTCTCAGTAGACTCGGATGGATCCTGATTGTTCTCGCTGTCGCCATCTTCTTCCACGGAGTACACAGTTTCCAGAATTTCCGGCCGCCTCAGGAACCCATTACAGCGTCTCATGGAGGAATACTTGCTGGATGGCTCGACAGCGTCGGATACAGATCGAATCACCGTGACGTCGGTGATGTTCGAACGAAACCTGAAATACAAAACACGTTAGGAAAAGCTGTAACGGCAGTTGGACGTTTGATTTCCAGATAATCGAAATACCTAAGTGGGGCCGGATCATCAGCAGCTTCCTCCAGAACGACAGCGCTATCGCTGTCACCAAGGCTGTCTAATCTATCAAGTGCATCGCATGGCGGGGAATCTCGGGTTCCCGAGTTTCGCTCGGCTAATCTATTTTGAAGTTGCCGAATGACTTTTTGCTGCCTTAGAATAATGGCTTCTCGTTGACTAAGGCTGGCTTCGATCTCCTTTTGCTTCCGGCAGAGTCTCGATTCGAAAAGTAACAACTGCGAGGACAACGTTCTAAGTTGTTCGGCTTTCTCTCTGGTCAATCTTGAGACTAGGTCCTCCTAAACAGAAATATAAAACAAAAAAATTTACCTATACAATTAGATATTAGGATTAAAGATATATCGAACGGTCTAAATTGCAGTGTGTCACACACATCGTTATTCGCTATGCTATTCAACCAGATACGCAACATCCGGCCTGCTTAGCATGGACAGTCCCCGTCTGGTTCGGTTCTTCCTATAAGGAGTCCATTATTCGCAGCATTGTCTCGCATAAATGGCTGCCGTGGGGAAAGCCAGGCTCGATTATGCCAGGCTACTTATTTATGAATAAAGCTCGCAGCTACTGTCCAGCAATCACATTAATATTAAACAGGCTTATCCCGACCGCTCTAGGTATTTGTTCTTTTGCCAAGTGCAAAAGATAATAATTAAAAAATGTTCCCGTTTTCTTTTTTTGCCAAATAACATTGGGGCGCTGATATTCGAACAGCGAGCATGAACTAACTTGTAGCTTGAGTGTCCGCCGCCAGGCGAGCATCTGGTGCGCCTGCGCCCTCTGTCTCGCCCTCAAAGCTGCAATTACGCATTTTGCTTCGTCCAATGACGTCACTTCCTCTTCCGGATCCTTGGAGATATCACTCAGAGTTTCCGTGACTCGTCCTTCGGTTACGGTCGCCAAAGGGCAGCTTTCCATCGACGTCTCGTCGAAGCTAAAACTGAAAGAAGCATTCGACGCCGTTAAACTCTTTGAAATACTTCAGAAGTAACGTAAGAACAGAACAAAATTGTATCGTGAAACTATAGACTAGTGTATACTGACTAAAGCAAAGAATAACATTGCTCAGGATAAATAAATACGATCCAGAAATATTTTTCAGTATTTTTTAACCTGGAACACGTTTCTACAATGAATTCAGGAAGATGCTACATCAATTTTTACTTATGAATAATATTATCCGATCGAACTAGAGATGAAATTCAATAAGAGCGAAGAAGGATCCGTGATCGCACGCTTCCATTGTGTAACCGAGCGTATTAAGTATCTAAGGGAGGATCTGGTTTGAGATAGATATTAAAAAAGTCAAAAATGAAATAAACACCCAGTACATAGACTTTACGCATAGGTAAGGTCCGATAGGAATTACGGTCAGGTGGCGACAACGATGGTGAATAGCACGCCATAAAAGGCAGATGGTTCTGAAGCCGTTGTTAGGACCATTACGATGCGAAAGTATTGGGTTACGCAGTAACTAGTTACTTCCGACTATACCGACAAAGACAAACTTTCGTTCTTCAACAACCCCGTCTGACTCACGAGGGCTACGTAGAGAAGCTTATTTTCGACGCTTAGCTTCTTCGACGGAGCTTTACTTCGATGTATGGGGTAACTTAGTGAATTTGGTAATATGCGCCACGTTGATAATGACAATTAGTAACTATGTTTTTCTGAGCTTTGCGCGTCCTGATGAAAATGGCAATGAAGGTGCATTAGCAAATATTTAATTGTTCGCGACCACAGAGTTACACAATGAGCTCTGATTTATTTATGAATCTGCCAGTAATACATAAGAATCTTTGATACTTCACACATCAAGTTTGAAATACGAGCTGAAACTAAGTATGGATATGTAGCATCATGAGAGAAAAATAGACAAAAGAATTTCGAACAGCAATCAATTCGAAGCTCGCCTCTCGCCGTTCGATCGGTAATGCATATAAAAGTAATTAAAGTGTCGTGAAGCGTAATGGCAGCTCGTTTAAGTAAGAAACAGTCGCCGATCCCGTGCCAGGATACGATAGATACGAGGTCCGACTTTCTAACCTGCAGGACCCATAATAGCAATTAACCAGATTTCAATGATCGATCTGCCAGTTTAGCAGCACCACAACGCCATCTACTTTATGCGTACACTCTCAGCAGCGTTCCAATTCGCAATATCGTTACGGCTGAAGTAATTAATAGTGATTTACCGTTAACAAAATCATCTAAATAATTAATACGGCAACGTGCTAAGTAATTATAGTATACTCATCCTCGTCATTTGGTTACTTCCTTCAATTTGGATATAAACTAAATAATTTTTTTAATTTTCAATTTTACGTTACTTTGTACACCCAACCGACTGTATTCGCACTGTTCTGAATTGTACGAAGCACGAAACGCAACTGGGCTAAAATTCGCTAGGGGAAGTTTGTATGGCGAGATATACGGTAGTAGATACTTATCGAGGCCGATGCAGGTGTACGAATAGAGGGATATGGAGTTCGCAAAAGGGTTTGAGTTGTTCCGGTCTTATCTGTCTGGAATTATATATATCCGGTTATTCAGTCCAAACGCACCGCCTGAGCATAGTTCTGCCATAGGAATGAAAAGGGCGCGTTAACATCAGATGGTGCATTTGGGCTGAATAACCCGGTATATAATTCTAGACAGATGTAGATATATACGTATATGATAAATAAGAGTGTGTAAAATTTACAGGATGTACTACACCCAATTCTTCAAACCGATCCCATATTCAGATTATCGAGTACCTCATACGCCTACATATATTTATTACGTAATAACGTAACGAAAATTTGTTTTTTTAGACATATAATCACAAAATTTTAACTCTTACGAGAACCTGGTTTTTTTTTCGGAAACACGGAGGCCGTATTATAGCTGCTCCGCAAGAGTTACAAAACCTACAAAGAAAGAACGATATATACGAGTATACTTGTGCGCACGGGTCGAGAGCGGAAACGAAGCATTGAGCGCATCAGTACTTCCGGGCGTATGCTTGAGCCCCTGACATCCGGTCAGCTGTCTAGTGCGAAAGGGGGTGAAACCCCGTCTAGTTGCGGTTGAAGAAAGTGCATACGTTATATTACTTTTTATTTACCGATCCCAATAAATATATAATGAGAAATTGTGCAGTGCGTTATATTGATATTATCGATTACCTTAGGTAATAATGTTACAGCTCCTTTAGTTTCTGTTATTTCATTTTATTAGAGTGGTATCGAGGGTGCTCGACCCTGACACACTTTCCTCCTCGATAAACAGGACGCATTGTCCACGGATATTGTTTTACTCGGTTAAATAAATTCCCAACGATTCTTCTCGCATCCTGTCTCGCGTCTTATCCGGCCTACTGTATCGCACTGTATACATTTCTCCAGAGCCAGTATGAAAAATGGACGATTAAAGAAGAAAAAAAGGAAATAGAAGTGAACCGCAACCGGCAGCGGCACTACCGCAGTTTGACGTTACGACTAGCGAGGTTAACTTGTTGGTTCGAACATAGAAACAAATACTGGCGTCCACACTCGAGAACCTGCACGCTGAAACCAGACTGATGCAAACATATCGTATGTCGTTCGATGCACGGTACGCTCAATAATGAAGAGGAACAGTTTATCCAAGCAGAGAAATACGATATTTTCTACCAGCAATGAAACTCGCTCTAAGCACGAGTTTAGAAACGCCAGGAAAGTATAAGAATTTGCATTATTGCCGATCCAAACTATATTATGTAATTAAAAGTACTTATTGGCGTCTTACGATGAGTTTTCAGTACGCGCCAAGTCAAGGAGCAATCCTAACCACTACGCGCCCGTATTTCACCGGTATAGCCGGCGGCTAGGACGTTTCTTGGCCTTGCTGAGCGGGATTCCTTAGACGCGTATTCGTCATTTTTATTTGTTTCTTTTCAACGTATTACTCGTGTTACTCTTTTTTCATTTATTTATTTATCTCCTTTCTATCCCTCTGCCACTGATGGCTCTCGCCTTTTATTCTGTATTCCTATGATCTTGTGTACGAAATCGCGATATATAAGCCAAGAGTAATGTAAACGGAACCCATTATGGTTAAAGCGATCCTTTATAAGAATAACGTAGATTCATTTGGAAGAACCAGAATACGGGAATGGTCTCTTCCTTCCATCTCTCTATTTCTTTTTTTTTTTTTAATAATCTTTACCTCTAGGGGGCGCAGCGCTTCTGCCATTGTCAGGACGTTATACCAGAGCGCGGCACGCATCTGGCGTTTTGCTACGTAATGAACATTGGCGCGGAAGCACACGGTGATATTGGCGGCAGTAATGAGCCAATGGCGTAATGCAGACTATAATCGTGCGAATCCGACTAGCTGATAAGACACGTGACGTGCGGGTATACGCACACGTAAAAGGATAATTGGCTCGTGACTAAAAAAGATATAAAGTGACAGGACACGAAAAGGTTCTGAACCACGAGAACGGGTTGCGTTAAAAATGATAGACGAGACCAAGTCGTTATGGGGTGGGGGGGTAAAATGTTTTTGTTTTTAATGTCAAAGCGTGAAAACGCGTCTATTCGAGGAAAAGCGTTTTTTTTTTTAAATAACCAGATACCATTAATCTTCTGGTGAAACAGGACTTTTGAGAGGACTATAAAAGAGGAGATAGTAAAAAGTTGAACCATCTTGGCTGTGATTATAGCGTGTTAATAAAAATATCGAAAAAAAAAAAAGAATAAACCCACGCCATAAAGATTCCCTGAGACTACCGCCATTCCCACTTGAGTTCACAGCATGGGTTCACGTGACCGTGCATTTTCGTTGTGTGTATTACGTGCAAAGACGTTGGGATTTTTCGGATTTCTTAGTGAAAAACCTTATTATTTTATTATTCGCACGATCTGGCCACCGCCACCGCCGGCGCCACCGTAGCCACAGTCGCGGTGCCGCGGCTATTTATATAAAACCAGATCCAGCACAATAGCAACTTTCTACTCCTACACAGAGAGTGGGGCTGGTGCAGATCGTGTGCTAACCTCAGCGCGCGCACACAGAGACTCGCTCCGAGAGGTACGAGCGTTGGAACGCTGTAAAAAAGGGTATAAAAAATAAAAAGACAGCATGAATGCACCATGGTATAAATCTACGGGCGTGCTCGGCACACCGTAAATCCCTCCCGATTAAAGTAGTGGCCGCACGGCCCACGTGTTCGCCGCGACTGAGTGGGATGTCGTCAGTCAGACGGTTTTCCATGTAGATCCTTTATTTGGATCCTGGATGTGGCCTGGTAAGTGTTCCAGGATGATTGAACCCAATAATGAACGAGAACGAAACGAAAGATAAAATAAGAAAAATGAAACAACAAGGTCCTCAAAGTGGCAAAAAGGGAGCGGAGAGTCGACCTCTCGTAGTGAAAGTCTAACCCGGAGTCTTAGCGTACCGTGAGTTGGGCCTAGTACCGAAATTGCTCTGGACTCTCCCCGCCGTTGAAAAACTCTGGGCCCTATCTTAGACGAAGTATCGGGAAGAAGAGCCGAGCTGGCTGAGGCAGAAAATGATACGCGTCCTATCATTTATTATAGCGGGCCCATTAACAACGGCGGAGCCCGATATACGACACCCACTCGAGTGACACACGTGCTTGGTCCATAACGATTGAGTCTACTATACAGGGTGGGGAACTAACTTCGAACCTGAATACGCCATTGGGTATCTACGCATATGTGTGCGTCCGACTAGGAAGAGCCAACGGTCATTATGCTCGCGTAATCTCGCCCACAGTTCAGCCCCACGTAGATAGAACTTGTTAGCCATTGGCAATCCTCGTTAAATGTATATGTATACCTACTGGTTCATTTATTTTTTACGCCAAGTTTCACAAAGGAACCAGAGGTGCCCATTACGATTTAGTACCCCGATAATACAGCGGGACCCTATTCGCGCCGATCTTCA